TACACTTTCAGTTTCTCACACCAGAGAAACTATTTGGTATTTACACATGTGTGTCCTATTTATTTCACTTAAGAGTATGGCCTCAATCTGTATCCATTTAGCTATAAATGTCTCTAGTTTATCATTTTTTATGGCTGAATAGTACTCCATTTTATTTAAAAAAGCCCCACATCTTCTTTATCCAGTCACCAGTTGGTGAGCAATTGCACTGTTTTCCAGATATAGCTATTACAAACTGTGCTGCTATAAACATAGGTGTGCATATATCACTGTGGTATTATTCTTTTAATTCTTTGGGGAAGATACCCAGCAGGGGAATAGCAGGGTCAAATGGGACCTCTAATCCTAGTTTCTTGAGGTATCTCCATTCTGGTTTCCACAGTGGTTGCACCAGTCCCACCAGCAGTGGAGCAGGGTTCCTCTTTCTTCACACCCCGGCCAGCATTTGTTATTGGTTGATTTCTTGATAACAGTCATTCTTTCTGGGGTGAGGTGGAATCTCTGTATTGCTTTTATCTGCATCTCTTGAATGACCAGTGATGTTGAACATTTTTTCATATGTTTATTTGCTGTTTCTACTTCTTTGTCTGAGAAATGTCTGTTCCTTTCAGATGCCCATTTTGGATTAGGTCTTTAAATTTGGGGGGTCTGATTTTTAAAAAGTTCTTTATAGATTCAAGATAGTAGAGCTTTGTCTGAGGAACCTTATTTCATTCAACATTTTGCTCCATATTACAATATTAAAATAAGAAGTTATGCCCTGACTACTCTCTATAAATACCATAGCAATCTCAGTCACACAGCTTTTCTGTCTGCCTTACTTTTTCTTCTATAGTACTTGTGTCTGTCACCATCTGGTAGATTTTATACATAGGTGCTTACTTAATTTGTCCTCTATCTTGTTCACTACTTGTCTCCAGTACCTGGCATGGTACTACATGTAATAGGGACTCAATATATATTTACTTCACTGAATAAAGGAGTGACTAAAACTAATGCAATTTTTAATGAAAGAGGCAAAATATAAACAAATTTAAATGAATTCTTTGCTCCTGTGGTGCCCTCATTTTACATCTGAGCTCCTCAGTGAGATTTATTAGGATAATGTCTAGAGAGTGCTGAAAGTCCATGGAACTGAAAGTCCTAAGCCAAAACAGGATGTGGAATTTTTTCAGATATGAAATCTTTGATTTTAGATTTGTAAGTATGGCCAAAAATATGCATGTGGTGTTTGGATTTTTAAATATAAGAGTTTCATATACTCTTAAATAAAAATTATTAAATATAGGAATTTTGTATACTCCTGTCATTCTGAAGAAATCCTGTTATTAACTCAAAACATAATTATATGGGAAGCAATTTATATAGACAGAATAACCATTAGAATAAAAAAGAAAAGTAAGGCTGCTAAATTTATTTAGTTAATTAAATCTATGTGCCTAGTCTTTTCTCATTTACTGTATCATAGAAGCAATATTTTTGTAATATTTGAAGTAATAAGCCAAGTTAATTTTAGTTGCAATATACAGAGGCAAGTTAGAAATGGAAATTGGCTTAATAATGAAGGTTCTATCTGCTAGATCTCATCAGGCTTTTTGTTTTTTGTTTTAGTACCGGGATCGAACTTAGGACCTTGCACTTTTGAGGCAGGTGGTGGCACCACTCAGCTAAATCCCTGGCCCCCTCATCAGGTTTTTGAAGGTGGGATATGGTGGCCCTGAACTCAGGGCCATCTACCCACTAAGCATGTGTTCTACACATCAGATTTTTACATGATAGTAAAATCTTAACAGACGATCCCTATCTCTGTTACAGGTTGGGTTACGCAAGAATTTCCCATGCTGAACTAAGTGATTCTGAAATTCAGATGGCCAAATTTAGGATCCCCGATGACCCCATTAATTACAGAGACAATCAGAAAGTGGTCATAGACCACAGAGAGGTTCCCAGGAAAATTCATTTCAATCCCAGGTAAGTGCCTTTATGTTGTAGACTACAGTTATGAGTGACCACACCCTCTCAAGGGAACCTAAATATTACCTCAAAATGAGCTAGAAATTATATTTGATTCTAAATAAGAAAAAAAATGATAAAGATTATAAAATCCTATTGGGGTTGAAGTTATAGTCTGCATGCTGTACTCTCAACTCCAGGTAAAAAGATCCCATCATCATGATCATCATCATCGTCACTGTCATAGTGATCACCATTAGTGCCACCATGATAGTGAATATTTGAATGCTCCTATGTCCCAGACCTGTTCTGGGTTCTTTGTGTGTTACCTCCATTAACCTTCACTGGGCTATACTCATGTTATCCCTGTTTTATTTTGTTTTGTGTTGGTACCAGGGGTCGAACTCAGGTCCTTGGGCTTGCAAGGCAGGCGGCAGAACCACTGAGCTAAATCCTCAGCCCCTATTTTATTTTGTTTTTGCAGTACTAAAGTTTGAACCTAGGGCCTTTGCACTGAACTACCTGCCCGGTCCCTTTCTAGTTTTGATTTTGAGATAGGGCCCTGCTAAAATGCTAAATTGCCAGATTGCCCAGGTGGGACTTGAATTTGCAGTCTTACTGCCTCAGCCTCCTAGAGTGCTGGGATCACAGGTGTGTACCACCACACCTGGCTATAGATTAGGAAGCTAAGGCTGGGAAATGAGAAGTAACTTCACTGGGATGATGTGGCTAGTCAGTGATGAGCTATTAAGTAGGAAGTGTCTGTTAGCATCATGGGGTTGCTGTATTCTCAGTACACGCTACACATTAGATTTACCTGGAAAACTTAAAAAAAAATTATTCCGTGGACCCACCTCAGATCACTCCATCAGGACCTTCTGAGATGGTATCTGGACTTTGGAATTTGAAACATTCTTTCCAATATGCAGTTAGAAATGAGACTATGGATTATGGATAATTTAA